AGGTCCCTTTCCCCTACACTGCTCTCCAAAGTGCTCTCAAGTGCTTCTCCACTTGAACCCCCCAGCTCCCTCAGCCACTCCCCATCATTCGGCTGCTCCAGACCCCTCCCCAGCTCTGTTGCCCTTCTCTGCCCATGCTCCAGCCCCTCAATGTCCTGGGAGTGAGGAGCCCAAAACTGAACATAGTACTAAGAACAGCAGCCAGCACACAACCTATCTGCACAAAATCATCCAGTCCACCAGCCTGTGCCTTTCTGAACTGACCTGTAATGGTCCGGCCATACGTTACTGAAGGAGATAATCTCACTTCCACCAGAGCAGAGTGTGGGAGGCCATTGCTTTCCATTTTCTAAGAGAAGTTGGCCCCTAGGAACAGCATTGTCAGCAGGTTGAGAGGGGTGATCCCATCCGTTTAGTCTTGGTGAGACACATCTGGGATTCTGGGACCAGTTCTGGGCTCCACAGTATGGGAAGGACATGGACATACTGGAGTGGGTCCAGTGAAGAGCCATGAAGATGAATAAGGAAGGGGAACATCTCTCCTGTAAGGTGAGACTGAGAGCTGGATTATTTAGCCCGAAGAATAGCAGGCTCTGGGCGAACTTACCCGTGTGTATAAATACCTGATGGGGAGAAGCAAAGAGGACAGAGCCGACCTTTGCTTATTGGTGCCCAGTGGAAGGCCAAGAGGCAATGGGCACAGCCTGAAACACTTCCAGCAGTGTCACTGGTAGAACTGCTTGAAAATCCAATGACCTTTCAATGTAAAACAAAAAAAAAAATGGATTGGTGGTTTTGTTGAATGCAACTCAGTAACAGATAAAGAACATTTTCAAAGTTCTGCATAGTTCCCCTTAACTGTTTTTTATTTAAATTGTTTACACTCCTGAAACACTCAGAAAAAATTTGCACTTAAACTCTCCAGTAATTTCTTCCTGTTTCCCTAGAAATTACTGTAGTTCAACCCACCCGTGAGGGTTCAAACTTCTACATACTGCCATATCAAAAACCGTGTCAGATACGTGTTTACCATCTCCAAGAGGGCCATGACCACTTAAGGACTGTACAACTATAATTTCCTTATTTTGCTTAAAGCAGACACGGTTGCTGGTGATTGTGGCAAAATTCCTTGTCTGGAATTTCCTTTTCTGCCAGTGAAAGGACCAAGTCCGCTTTGAACAGCTCCGCTGAATTGCCACGTTTGTGCCTTTCTATCAATGGGTGGCTCTGTCTTTTGGCCTTACATCCAATAAGACACAGATCACAAAGGTTAAAAAAGGTGTCTCAGTGAATTGACATCACTTAAAACACAGTACCAGGCTATTAGTAATTAAGTTCTTAAAGGGTTTGCAGGAATACTTGGTTTTCTGTGGTCCCGTCCACACAGCTGCCTTTGCCAAAGCTGAAACGATCCCATTAATATGTTTTATTATTAATCACATTTATTATTTATCAAAATTTGTGGCTGAACAGCAGTTTGCAGGAAAGTATCTGTTCACCTCTAATTTTTCTTTTAATGCATTGAGCACTAGAGAAGCAAAATAAATCAGGTTTACATCTAGCTGCTATGGCAGAGCGTTTTGCGTTGCCAATACAGTACATGGATTATTTAATGAATAATCAGGTGAAAACAAAGCCATGCTGCTGGTGTCTTTGTTCAGTCTTGTATGAACAGTTGCCCAGCTAAATAGCTCCAAGCGTATGAAAACACTGGGAAGCTGAATTTGAATAAATGTTTGAAATAATTTAAAATCCCTTCACAGCTCTTCAGGTTGAATTTCTATATCGGTGTACTAATCCTGCCCGAAGGGTCAGCAGGAGTTATTATAATCTGTATTGACAAAGCTGTTGAACAAAACCATTCTTGATTCAACTTCATTGACTTCGGTGGATTTGCATTTGCAATTGGCTCTTCTACAGAAAACCCCGATCTTTTTCTTACATGAAGAGTTTCCTAATAGCTTCCTTCATTGGATTTCAATTCAATCCTGCCGATGTGCTTGTGTCCTATCCTAGCTCTCCCTGCCAGAACGGAGGAACCTGCATTGATGACAATGGTTTTGCACCTCACGCCTCCTGCCTCTGCCCTCCTGGTTTCGCCGGCAACTTCTGCGAAATCGATAGAGACGACTGCGAGTCCAACCCGTGTGAAAACGGAGGGACGTGTACAGATATTGGCATGGGTTTCAGCTGTTTTTGTCCCCATGGCTATACGGGAAAGCTCTGCAGCAACCGGGTCGTATTCTGTGCGAGCGGCCCCTGTGAGAATGGGGGGACGTGCAGTGAACTCCCCCAGGGAGGATTCGAGTGCCGCTGTAAACCAGAATTTGTTGGTGTGACTTGCAGACACCCCAGCAGAAACACAAACCTCTCCGGAGTGAACGTGGAGACAAAGCATGTGCAGAGTTACAAAGCATCCCCAAAAGCTCACCACAGGGCAGTGCACCATCAGCAAGAGATCCTGAAAATAACCATGAAGGAAACGATCCAAAGTGCGGATCCCCTGCTCAGTCGAAGCCAGGTGATTTGGTTCGTTGTGCTGGGCTTGCTGACCTGTCTCGTCGTCTTGGGTACAACTGGGATTGTCTTTTTTTCAAAATGTGAGATGTGGCTTGCGAATGCCAAATACAGCCATCTCCTCCGCAAGAAAAAGAACTTCTTTCTGAAGTCTAACAACGGGGAAAACCTCTCAGTTAATATTATCTTCCCAGAGAAGATCAAATTGACTAATTACACTAAGAACTACACTGCCATCTAGGCCCTTGAAAGGCGAGCAGCAACTTGAGACTTTTCATAGCAATATGTAAAATAAATGGAATTTATTGCCTGCGCTTGGCCTCAGTATTTGTGGGTACATTTGCTGTAGTTTATGAGTGATAATGAAGATATATAATGTATCTGTATTGCTAAGGATGTTTTTTCATTCCCAAAGTAAAAGGTCAAGAAAACCCAAGAGGGTTAAAGAGCAGGGAATGTTAATTTGATTTCTTTTCAAGGCAGCTATAAAAGGTAAAGAAAACCCAAGAGGGTTAAAGAGCAGAGAATGTTAATTTGATTTCTTTTCAAGGCAGCTATTTTTTTTTTGTAGAATCAAAATTAATTTACCACTGGAACTGTATTGCAGCTTTCTTGTCTTGTGCATTGTTTATTTGGCAAATGCGGTACTGTGAATTACTCACTAATGCTTTTTTGTAATAAACAGCAGTTAAGGGCTATTTTGTTTTCTTTATTCATTTGTAGATGTTTCACTACAGTAAAGCGTGCAACAAGCATCCTCGCTTAATTCTTCCACTGTAAGTGATAAAGACTTCAGAGCTTGCAATCAACAGGAGAAAATTCCCACCTATCCAGTCAGTTTTGCTATTTTTACGTGCTTATAAGATAGATTACTCCTTCTGTAGAATCGTATAGGTATTTGTGGTATTAATTTCAGGTTAAAGACCTCTGTTACTTGCAACACTGCCTCCATAAATTGTTCTACTTATCTATTTTAAAATGTTAACAATGTGTTCGGTGTCTTTGGTCGCACTTTCTGTTTAGAGACCCGATAGAGGTGTAAAGGATCCAATTTTGACTTTTCTATAAATTTTCCTCAAAGAACTCTAATGAGAAAATGTTTTGGATGAGCAGTCTTCATTATTTCTTTGTTAGCAGATGTAAGCAGATGGGTTATTCATTAACATGCACATATAACGCAGATTCACAATTAAAGTTTTGTACAGTTTAAAAAAAAGGCAAGAAAATTTGATATTTGCACATATGGCATTACAATATAGTGCAAAGATTAGAACTAATGGGGAAAATGGTGTTGAGATACTGCTGTGGAAAGACTTCTAGATAACGGGATGAATCACAGAATCACAGAATCACAGAACGTTAGGGATTGGAAGGGACCTCCAAAGCTCATCCAGTCCAATCCCCCTGCCGGAGCAGGTACACCCAGATGAGGTTACACAGGAAGGCGTCCAGGCGGGTTTTGAATGTCTGCAGAGAAGGAGACTCCACAACCTCTCTGGGCAGCCTGGGCCAGTGCTCTGTCACCCTCACTGAGAAGAAGTTTCTTCTCCAATTGAAGTGGAACCTCCTGTGTTCCAGTTTGTGTCCGTTACCCCTTGTCCTATCATTGTTTGTCACCGAGAAGAGCCTGGCTCCATCCTCGTGACACTCACCCTTTAAATATTTATAAACATGAATGAGGTCTCCCCTCAGTCTCCTCTTCTGCAAACTAAAGAGCCCCAGCTCCCTCAGCCGCTCCTCAGAAGGGAGATGCTCCACTCCCTTGATCATCTTTGTAGCCCTACACTGGACTCTCTCCAGCAGTTCCTGTCCTTCTTGAACTGAGGGGCCCAGAACTGGACACAATATTCCAGATGTGGTCTCAATGAATGAAAATTCTAAAGCAAGCTGATTATCCCTCTCAAAACTCTTGTTGAGAAGACAAATATGCATCAAAGCCAGCAACTTTTCAACCAGTCTTAGTGAAGCTGCCTAACTTAGAAATCCAGATGGAGGTACAGCCAGGTAAGCAGTGTTGAATTTGAAGCCATGAAACAGGTGCCACAAGACTTTACACAATTCTTTTAAAACAATATATTTTAAAATACAGTACTGTGCATTTTAGTGTGATCTGTTCTGTGATGAGAAGTATGTTAGGATCAATCTGGAGGCAATCAGAAGCATTGAATATCTCCGTTGGGTAACTCAATCCATGCAGCTTTGATTCAAAACCAGTTGCAACAGTAGACATCCACTAGGAATCAGGGATTAAATTCCTGACTCAGCTGTTATTCATATTTATAAACTGTGACATGATTTTTGGCCATGGTGACCTAGTTGGCAGCACCTCTATCACAGTGTATTTCTTCATATGTAGACATGAGAGCTCGTTGAAGAGAAGTTCCTTAGCTCGGAATGGGAAAACCCATAGATTTCAGCTCCAGGTATCTCCCTATCATCGGTGGTGCCAGTATAGACAGCTGCTATAGTCCTGCTAGACTCTCCAAAGAGAAGTCTTATTTTAAACATGAAAGGCTGGAAGTAATAATAGCTGAAAAAAGAATAGCTGTCTTTATCTTCTCCATGCCAGAAAAGAATGAAACGTGTGTATGGGAGATTCTCATACTGTGCTGCTAGTGGAGTAGCTCTGAAGCCTCAGCACCACCTAAGTGACAGAGAACTGGGATGGTAAGAAAGAATTTAAGTTTAAGAAAAGTTTTAAGTTTAAGATAATTACAGCATTTGAACCAATATCCCGTATCAGGTTTCCAAAGCAAGAAGTTTAGATTAATCATTGTGCTGAAAGACTGACATAAAGGCAACGAGGAGACAAAGAACATTGGTAGCACTTCAATTTTATGTTTATTCTACGTATTTTTTATTAATGGACAGAGAACATATCTATGATACTGCGAGAGGTACCAACCTATATTGCCCTTTCTCACCTTTTTGATTTCTGAATGTTTTCCCTTAGTCAAGCAATGATAAATCTGAGCCTCAACATCCACCTCTACCTTATTGCTTGTAAAAATCCACACAAATCCCCAGAACTAGGGATCAGTTGGGACAAGGGGACAGCTGGTAAGGAAAACCTCTTGTCTTGAAGCTATAGGAGAATATATGAGAAGGTATTTTTATTTTAACCATCTCCCTTTGAGCCGTGTTAGCCTTTGTTCCTGCCACGTTAACAAAAAAAGACCCGTAGATGTTTGAGACAGATCAGATATTTAGCGACAGGGGTGGAAGTTTTCCTCTTGGTTTATTTTGGATTTGGTTTTTTTCATGGCCATGGGCTGCTGTAAAAGTAGAACATACGAAGTAATAATCACCAAACTCTGGAGAAGTGTTTGGCTTTTCTTTTTACTGCCATTCTTGATATCTGTCCATAAACCATCAATGTATGCATTTCTTTTCATTAATGATGGTTATATATGCAAGTGCTAAACCATCTGCTGTTGATATATCCACATCAGCCCCGCTCTTCTGGGCTGATAACCTGAGTCCTGTTTTCAAATTAATATTTAGGTCCAGACAGATCGTGGTATTCCTACTTAAAACAGCATCAAGGACCTGGCTGCAGGAATATACACAGGGATACATACAAACCATCACTGAAGACAACAGTCCAAGTTCTCAAATTTGCCCGTGTCTTGGCAAAATCTATTCCCTGTCACAGCCTCAAGGGCAAAATAATTTGCTACAGATACAGGACTCATTTATTTTTTAATTTTTTTTTTAATCCAGGACTTTCCTGGCAAAACGACGTGCGTATGCCTCCAGAGCACACTAAATTATTGCACGTGTACTATGCATGCACTGTTGATTTTCCAAAACACATCTGATTTACTATGCATTTCCTATGAATGAGCCATGGGCAAATCTTGCATTCCTTAATGTCACACAGCCTAGAAAAATGCCCAGTGCTGCCTGGTTTAGGTGAAAGAAGAGTCTTGAGAGAAGGCTTTTGTGGTTGCTCAACCCATGTTGCAACGAACACTTGAGGTTCACAAAGACAGGTCAGCTTTGCTGCATCTCTGCTGCCATTAAATGAGATCAAGCCAGAAAATACACTGTGTATTAGACATCAAATAATATTTTGAAGTTTCTTCCTAAATTTCTTGAAGGAAATAAGGTTCTTTTAAAACTTTGCAAGAGGGAGAACGATACATGTTTCAGTCTCAAATATAAACTGAATTATTGCTCTAGGATTTGAAGAAAACCATTGAATTAATTTTAGTCATTAGCTCTAAAGCTCAAGAAGGGACTTTTTCTTCTGTCTCCCTCCCCTATAGGTCCCTGAGATGGAGGACCTTTCCTGAAGCTCATATCTGAGTCAGGGTCTTGGACAAGTTCATGAAAACACAATTCCGAGTCCTCATCCTTAGTAATCCAGATAAATGTTGCAGGTGCATCCTGTTCATGGCCTCTTAAAGTCATGTCTGAGTAACTTTAAAGATGCTAAAATATGAAGGTGGAATAATACAAAGAAGAGGGACTAAGCCAGGCTTAACTACAAGTGTTGGTTAGACCAAAATTGTTTTTATAATGTTTTGCCATGTGAAACTTGGAACAAAAATACAAGTTCATTTTTTTCTCTATCCACTTTCCTCTTGCAAAATTACATCCTTGCTATTAATTGCAGCCTTGTACTATGTATATCCACTTGATGGCAGCATTTGAACACAGAACCACTCGAAGCTCCCAGCTCTGTCCCCTTTGCGTTTTGCACCGGCAAGCTCGCAGCCCATCCCCAGCGACTGGTTATGGGAAAAGGGCAAATAGGGAGAAAGAGACCATGCCTGTGGTTCTTTGCCTGTAGGTAACTGTTGCTCATGAACTGTGAAGATAGCTTAAATGAGCAGTCACTGAGAGGAAATGAAGGACAATGGAAGGAAAGCCAAGAAAATGTTTTATACAGATTCAAGTAAATGAAAAAGTTTTGTTATGCTATACTCCTAGCCTTTCCCATGTTACTGGTGTACTTTTTTTCTATCCCAAAGGAGCATGCACAGCAACTTTGTCAGTAGTCTCATATTCATTCTCATGTTTTCCACACCATGTATTGAAATTTCAATTTGCCTGCCTCTGTCTTACTGACTTTAAAGGTGGTCAGATTGGAAGTGAGAAAACACATGCTTTAATTTTTAAAAACCCTTTCTTGTATCAAATTCAAGGTCAGAACTTCACTCAGTTTTCCAGAGCAGCGGCAGGCATCTCCCCACTTGCTGGGAGTTGTGCATCTACAACATTTCCAGCAAGGAATAAGTGATATTTCTAGAGGAGTAAAATAAACAAATAAATAAACACGGAGTTATTCCGTTCTACCTTCCAGTGTTTGAATTACTGGAAGTATTTCAAGAGTCCTGCATCTTATCATGGGGCAAGCGTAAGATTTTAAGTGATTCAAGCCCCAAATCTCACCTGTGCCTGGTTTTCCTCCTAAATA